ATCAAGAACACTATTTTGCAAAGAAATTTTCATAATCTCGCCTATTTTTTATCATTGGTAGAAGTTTTCTTTGTCGACATTTTAATTTAAGTGTAAATCTCTCTTCGTACTTAACTTGCATTATTTGTTAAGATGGATCAGTGGTTTGAAAACTTTGATACAAAATACAAATTATTTCATTATCAATTATTCATCAAAGTTTTAATCATAAACACTTGATCTTTAATATTTGCTATATATTGAAGTGTTATCATAACTTTCTATTTTGACTTGATTATATCATTTGTTANTTCATTATCTATCATTCATCAAAATTTACAACATCAACACTTGAACTTTACTGTTTGCTATCTATTGAAGTGTTATCCTAACTCTCTAAATACTTGACTTGATTATATCATTTGTTAAGAGAGTTTTTTCAATTGTAAAACTATCATTTATACTTTAGTGGTTTCGAGAGCCTTGTGAAAACTCGATTGTTGTTAAAGATGAGTGCTCATTGTTGTAAGTTACCTAATGATATGTGCTCATTGTTGTAAATCACTTAAAGATTGGTACTCCTTGTTTGTAAATTACCATTATATTGCATTTGACTTTGCTCGTGACGGAGAGTTTGGTAATTGGGACGTAAAACACATTATGTATCGAACCCCATTAAATTAGTTTGTTATTTTTATATTATTGCACTTTACTTTACATTGTCATTCATATTGTGCTATATCCATACTTGAGTTAAGTTATTAAACTCGCATATTTAATTCTAGTATTATACTTTGCATTTATATATTGTGTATTGAATTGTTTTGAAATTAAGTGTCGAAAAAATTTCAAAAATCAATTCACCCCCTTCTTGGTTAATTATTCTTGGGTTATCACTAACCATATTAAATCAAACTTTTCTCATAATCACACCTCTAATCTTTGCAAGCATATCAAATGAAATAATTCAAGAATCCATAAAGTGATACTTGTTCATTTAGAAAATTATAACACTATTAATACCCAAAAAAAAAAAAGAAGAAGAAGAAGAAGAAGAAGAAGATTCAGCTAACCATTTGTTCTCATAGTCACATTTTAAGCTCAGCCAAAGCATATCAAATTAAATAATCCAACATGATACTTTTTAATTCACTGAATTATTAACAATTAATACAACAAAACATAATTTATTTTTTATGAATAACTGTACTTCAAGCACGAATCATGTACATAAACCAGTCAATTTTTATCCTATGGTAACATGTACAATGGCCAACTATTTTGAAGGTTGACTCCAAATAAAAATCACTGATAGAAATCAACCAAGTAGGATCTCTAGGCCCGTTTGGTCCCATTATTTGACATTTTAATGATTTGAATAGTGTTTTTTTAATGTGTGGTTAAAAAATAAGAAAAAGTTTTGAGATTACGCATAATATTATTTTATTGGAAAATATGTGGGTGATAAGAAAATAGAGAAAAATGAATTATAAATTTAATAGAGGCTAAACAAGTTTTTAGTCTCAATAGTCGTTGACAATTTGTAAAATGACATTTAATCTGTAGTTTGCATTTCCTTCACATTTAACTGCGCATTTGCTGCGTTTTCCTCTCTTTTCCGATACTTATGGAGTAGCCTCTGCAAGTAGGGGTGCGCAAAACCCAACCGTACCCACCAAAACCGTCCAACCCGAACTAACCTGATCGGGTTGGGTTGGTTTTTTAGTTGTTTTTATATGGGTTGTGTGGGTTGGGTGTGTAAGAGGGTCGGGTCGGGATATGGGTTCCCTCATGAAACCGAATAAACTCGCCCAACTCGACCCACCTACTTAAAAAAAAGAGAAAAATAAAAAGAAACAAAATAAAATGCCTAAAAAGTAAAAGAAACCTAAAAAGTATAAGTAGATAGTGTAATTCTAATTAGTTTGGTGCATTTTAGAGGAGGAGTTACTCTACTTCTCACAAGATGAGGAGTATAACTTTTCCATATTATGTTAAATGCACTTTGTTCTTTGTATGCTCGACTAATGAGAATTGAATAAGATAATCGATAATTTTATTTATTTACTTATTATTTAATCTTGTCTNAAAAAAAAAAAAAAACAAGAAGAAGAAGAAGAAGATTCAGCTAACCATTTGTTCTCATAGTCACATTTTAAGCTCAGCCAAAGCATATCAAGTTAAATAATCCAATAATATGATACTTTTAACTATACTTCAAGCACGAATCATGTACGTAAACCAGTCAATTTTTATCCTATGGTAACATGTACAATGGCCAACTATTTTGAAGGTTGACTCCAAATAAAAATCACTGATAGAAATCAACCAAGTAGGATCTTTAGCCCCGTTTGGTCCCATTGTTTGACGTTTTAATGATTTGAATAGTGTTTTTTTTTTTAAATGTGTGGTTAAAAAAGAAGAAAAAGTTTTGAGATTAAGAGTAATATTATTTTATTGAAAAATATGTGGGTGATAAGAAAATAGAGAAAAATGAATTATAAGTTTAATAGAGGCTAAACAAGTTTTTAGTCTCAATAGTCGTTGACAATTTGTAAAATGACATTTAATTTGTAGTTTGCATTTCCTTCACATTTAACTGCGCATTTGCTGTGTTTTCCTCTCTTTTCCGATACTTATGGAGTTGCCTCTACAAGTAGGGGTGGGCAAAACCCGACCGAACCCACCAAAACCGTCCAACCCGAACTAACTCGATTGGTTTGTGTTGGTTTTTTAGTTGTTTTTATACGGATTGGGTGGGTTGGGTGGGTAAGAGGGTCGTGTCGGGATATGGGTTCTCTCATGAAAACCAAATAAATCCGCCTAACTCGACCCACCTACTTAAAAAAAAAAAATTAAATAAAATAAAATACCTAAAAAGTAAAAGGAACCTAAAAAGTATAAGTAGATAGTGTAACTCTAATTAGTTTGGTGCATTTTAGAGGAGGAGTTTACTCTACTTCTCACAAGAAATGTAGTATAACTTTTCCATGTTATGTTAAATGCACTTTATTCTT